CTTTATGCAAATTAATTTTGTACATTGAAGGCAAATTTTTTATTCAATTTATACCCTATTTATGTTCTTTTGCTCGTACTGCCAAACACGCTTCAAATAATAAGAATTTTCTAATATATTCATGATAAAGTATTTTTCTATAAAATATTCAATAATCCTAAAAATATTTCATATACTTTATTTTCTTACAAAAAAATGCTACTAATTGATAAATTGATAGGATGGTGATCAACACTAGCAAATGAACGAAAAATAGTCAAAGAGACAATAGGAATTTGGTTTGATGTGTACAAGGGAGCCTAATGATAAGTTCAAGCATATATACTCCATGTAAGTCTACAATTGGGAGAATAATTGGACTTTTTGTGTTAATGAAGAAGGTATGTGACAACACTATATATATATTTCAAGTTTAAATTTATTTGTGTGTGGTAAATTGAGCTTATATATTCTTTAACGTAGAAGAAGATTTAAAGAAATGATAATTCTGCTAAGGAAAATTAAATTTGACTAAATAGATATATTTACGTAGTCATTTCTCAAGTAAATCTTATGGCTAATATGTAAAGATTGGGTGTTAGATTTGGATGGTACCAAGTATATTTGTGCACTACACCCAAGTTGAAGAAGAAGAATGATTTTTATATATATTAGAAATTTCAGAACTAGTTACGTTCTTAGAATGGAAAGTTCTTCTTATTCAATTCACATATGAAAAATATTGATATTATCTAAGGTGGTATATATGATTTAATATTTGAGCTAATGATCCTTATGAAAATATGATTAAAAGTTGAAACCTTTTATTTGAGTTATATAAAATTTAATCAAATGATTAAAATGATTTATCAACAAATGAAAATTTTAAGTCAAAAAATAACTTAAAAACCCTTTAAAAATCTAACCCCCATATTATAATCAAAACATAAATATTGCAATCTTACGAGAAGAACAAAAATACACGCAATCAAAGAGAAATAACATATATACTAACACAATTGTTAGATATAGCAGGAAATAAAAATTATAACTCGAAAAATAAACTTAGAAAACCTTAAAGCTAGCAGTTGATAGCAAATCTTAACATATAAAGAAAACAACTTATATTTAGCAAGAAATGAATTTTTTTAGTCGAGCAATAACATAAAAATATTATAAAAGGTTGAACCCCGAACCCTAATAAACGCATTAATATTTTTAAATTTTATAAGAGAGGAACAAAATTACAAATAATCCACTAGAGATAATTAAAAAAGAAAACATATTTTACAATATTTAAAGCAACTAAGTGGCTAAGATATCATATATGGGTTGATTTAGATGCATATATTTGTGTTGAAATTGAACATACTAAGAAATTACATGTTGGAGTTTTTTGAGCATCCAAATTTAGACTTAATTCTTTTTGAACTTCTTGAAATTTAATACTAGATGTGAAAATTATTATTGTGTCACATTTTTGAATATTCTTCTCTACATATATAAAAGGTTTTTGTTGAAAACAAAGAGATGAATATTTTGATATTTTAAATTATAAATTTGTATTTACATATCAAATTGAAAACTTAATGAAAAAGTCATCTCTCTATTAAGAAATACTTAAAAGTGTAGATGTGTTTTGTTGAGGTTGTGTTACATATTCTTAAGAAAAGAAAAAATAAAATCTAAGTTTTTTTAATTATATGTTTATAAATGTTGCATATACATATTTGTGATAGTTGATCAATTGTGATATGATTGAATGTAATGTTAGAGTAGGAAAATATATTATTAATTTCTTATAATTTATTATATTTCTCATGTTCTTGTTGATATATTGCTTCTTGATGCATTATTTGGAAAGAAATAATTTGTGATGCATGAGGTGCCACAGTATATTATCAAATAAATTAAATATTTTGTTGTATTTAAAAATTCGATAGTAATGATGAGTTATTATTGATGACGGTGCCATAACATAAAAGGCAACTAATTAGAGTAGTTGTTGTACTGAAGTTGATTAGTGATCAGACTAAGTGATTATGACAACTCTTAGTGTGTATTCTAAATGGAATAAAACTAATATTTTTTGTGCTAAAATTAGATACATGTATTTAAGACGTAATGTGATAAAAGAATTGTTGTGAGATTAATAATGACAAGCGCATGGGCTTTCAGCGCAAAACCACAATAACGACAAAGATAAAAGGGGTATAATTGATAACATAAGACACTGATTTACAAAAGAATTATTGATTCATAAAAGCTGTAAACTTCACTAATTGTCCTTGTAAGTTTAATTTTGTTTACCCATCAAAATAAAAAGAGATAATACCAATTATGTTCCTATGGGCTGTAGCATCTGTAGGTAATAGATATACTTGTTGGTAACGGGCACTTAGTTGAGTGTTATAGAGGAGCAGTTCTTACTAACACCAAAAAATACTTTAATTTCGATTTGAACTTGAAAGTGAGGTTGGAACAATTATCCATTGAGCTTGGGAGAAAAAAATAACAGATTTATCGATCATAAAAACACGTTTCGAAGTTTTGACTTCAATTCATGTTGTCCACTCTATAATATGATAGAATATGACCGAGAGGAACTGTTGTTATACCCGGAGTTAGAACTGTTTCACCTTATTTTAAATCTTGTTTAGAAATACATTAATTGAAGAAGCATTAGCAAGAATTGCATAATAAGGTGATAAATTCAATTGAATACTATCTTGCAATAATGAAAAGGAAAATAACCTAAATACACACAGAGGCGTATTCAGGAGGGGGTCACCGGGTTCACGTGAACCCATGCTCTACTCCTGAAATCATATATAGTAGTATTATATTATTTTTTTTAAAGTATTTAAAAATATATATCTGTGAACCCACATATGAAGTATTGTATAATGTCGTGCGATGATGATTGGGTGCACCTCTCTAAGAGAAGTTAGAAATTCGAATCTTAGATTTACCTTTTCGTAATAGTGCACCCATCATCTCAAAATTTTGAATACACATCTTATTTTACCGTAATCTCTAAAATTCTCTATCATTTAAAAATATTTCAAAAATCTCTTCTCGAATACGTCACTCTCCTCTCGATGATACATTATATTCCCTCTCAAATACATAACTCCCCTGATACCTCCTCACCTACGTATCCGGATGTCTGCTGATGTATCTGTAAGTCAAGTGAAGCATCCGGATGTCATATCCCCTCTCTGATACATCCCTCCCCTCGCATATGCATCCCTCACATATGTATCCGAAAGTCGAGTCAAGTATCAGGAAGTCTAGTAATGTATCCCAAATCCATAAATTTTAAGAGAGTTTTGTAATTTAAAAAAAAATAATGTAATTAGCTCTTAACACTATGAGATTTAAGTAAATTATGTATATTTAGATCCTTATTGTTTTTCTTGATGTTTGAGCGGAATATCAAAACTTTAATATTGTCCATTGGACTACAAGAACTATAAGGTCGTAATAATGATTGTAGATGCATAGGATTCCTTTAAGGATTAGTTGATTGTTTTTTTAAGGGATGTTTATCAGGGAGAGATAAGTTAAAAGGGAGATTCGCCTTTGACATTTTTCCTTGCTCCACAAGACAACGGTTATTTTGTATTGAATGGTGGTTTTAGGTATGTAGAAGAAAATGAGATTGATAGTGTCTCACAAATGATTAATCCAATTGAGGATGTGTAGTTAGAGGTTCCGACCCCCATCCAAGTTGGTTCTCTTTTCTAAATCAATAAGTGTAGTTGTTCTTCTTTTCTCTTAAAATCTTTTACTATCTTCATGTTGAATCCAAAACCTACTCATGTCGTTGATCCTCCAAATCTCAGCCAAGTTGGATCACATGTGGAAGAAGTCATATGCATCAATCGTCACTTCACAAAAAAGAAAGGGCCATCCAAATTTTAGGTACCCACAAATACTTCCAGAATGTCTCCTCCGAAGGCTGTAAAACAGCCGGTTGCTGCAGTAGCACAAACTGTAGCTCTTGAAGCATCAAATGCTACTGCACCCAGTGATGTTAATGTACCTGAAACTAATGATACTGAACATGAATGTACAATGTCTTCGAAACTTGCCTGAAATATACTCATTACTTCCATCTTTTGATGGACACATCTATATGTGCCAAAAAAATGGAATAGGCATGTTAGTATTTAGTTTTTGAGCAAATGAATAAGTAGATGTGGTTTGATCTAGATGTTGGGTTATTTGATCTACTAGCATTGTCATGCTTACTCTGCTTTAGACTTACTCATTGTTTACCGTCCAGTAAGAGTACATTGTCATCTGATTTACTTCGATTTTAATTCTTGGAGCTGAGTGATACTCCATTTATGTCTGCAATTTGCCTCTAGATGTTACTGTATCCTAACTCGAAGCTGAATTTAATAGATATAGCCCTATTACGAAAGGAGGTGTACAACTTAGAAGTAATAGGGTTGGTTCAGCATACATTATATTCATCTTGGTTCACTAACACCTACAGATTGTTATCATGTGTCCACTTATTCTCTTTGCTGCAGCAACAAGGATTCTGATTTGGCTTTGTTGAGTTTGAAGATGTGAGCTCCATTAACAGTGTCATACAGGTATGTGCTCCCTGAAATATCATTACATCTTTTTTTCCAGACTTTAAAATGTGTTTACTTCCTAGACTTGTTAGTAAATGATATGTTGCATTATTAGTCCATACAAGAAGATGTATGATGAACCCTTGATCACCTTATAGACTGAATGTACATGGTCAATGACATACCAGATTTGGGAAAATGACAACGCTCGAACATCTACTTTCTACCCTAATCCTCGACCTCCCTATCATCCTATTAAGGGTCATGCCTTCGATAATCTACAGAGTGTCATTCCTGTCTATATTTCTGTCAACAGCAACTCTCATCCAAATTTTGGATTATTTTTATCCAAAGATAAATAATCCCACAAAAGTGACCAATAGGCCAGTACAAACAGCTAAACAGCTGTAGTTTGGACGGGCATCCAAATTGAGAAATAAAATTTAACATTCCATCAAACCATTTTTCCTGTACATAATTTTGAAATACCAACATTAAGCGTTGTGAGTTAGTAGAAAACAAAGGTCACCCACACAAAAAATTGTGAGTGAATAGTCCCCCAACACTTGGGTAAACTGGGGGGACGAGAACACAAAGTAACGTCAATGTCAACTACCGTTCCGCTGCCAGCACACTGGCAAACAAATAAACTAGATCAAAATTTATCCAGCCACATTAACTATGCTGTAGCAGAACTTTGACTAGGGCCACCTCTCTGTCCCCCTCTCCCTCTTACTTGATAGCTTTCACCACCACGTCCACCTTGAACCCTACCACGCCCTGAAAAATCGCGTCCTCCAAATTCACTTCTCCCGTAGCTCCGACCTCCACCAAAGTTTCCGCGGACCCTGAAATTGACATTTCGGAATACTCCTCTTCTAGGAGAGAAACGGCCTCTAATGCTACCAACTGTAACATCAAATTGAAAAAGCAGGTTTATAATTTTATATGAAAAGGTCATGGTCCAATTAACTCTTATAGTTTGATGGTATGAATAGATTGCAGAACTTGATGTCTGACTTTTTTATGTGAACTCAACACCCAAAACTTTTAAAGATAATACACTCTTAAACTTACCTCTAGTTGTTGTTCTCTTCATCTCGATAACAACTTGACGAGCCCCCATGATAATGGGAGAAGCCTGAAAAAAAAAGAATAGTCACAGTAATGCATCTTCATATCATGTACTAACAAGTCTAGGAAGTAAACACATTCTAAATTCTATAAAAAGATAGACTGTGCAATGATATTTCAGGGGCACATACATGTATGGCACTGTTCATGGAGCTCATATCTTCAAATTCAACAAAGCCAAAGCAGAATCCTTGTTGCTGCAGAAAAGGGAATAAGTGGACACATTAACAATTTGTAGGTCAGTGAACCAAGATGAATATAAGTTGTGCTGCACTAACCCTATTACTTCTAACTTGTACACCTCCTTGCTTAATAGGCCCATATGTTTTAAATTCAGCTTCAAGTTGGGCTACAGTAACATCTAGAGGCAAATTTCGAACATAAATAGAGTATCCCTCAGCTACAAAAATTAAAATTTAAGTAAATTAGATGACAATGTACTCATAGTGGGACTATAAGCAATAAGAAAGTCGGAAGCAGAATGAACATGACAATTGCAAGCAGATCAGATAATACAACATCTAGATCAAACTCAAAACACATCTACTTATTGTGCTCCTTTATTTGCTAAAAAATTAGATACGGACATCCCTATTCCATTTTTTCTGACATAGATGCATCCATCACATGATCGAAGTACTGAGTTTATTTCAGACAGGTTTCAAGAGATTATACCTTCATCTTCAGCATCATTAGCTTCAGGTACATCGATTCCACTAGTGGTAGTAGGATTTGATGATTCAGGAGCTGCATTTTGTGCTACTACAGCAACCGGCTGCTTTACAGCCTTCGGAGGAGCCACTCTAGAAGTATTGGTGGGTACATAGATTTTGGTTGGCCCTTTCTTTGTTTGTGAACTGACAATTGATGCATACGACTTCTTTGGAGCATACTCTTGGGCAACAGAATTAACTGATTCTGTATTTGTAGGGTGCTGGTCCTCGTTGAAATAGGATCCAGTTTCCACAACAATCTCTCTTTCATCAGCAACTTGCCTCCCATCTACCGAAGAGTCATTGGCTTTTTCCTCAACATGTTGAACTTCTTCTGCAGGTGAGCCAGCTTGGTCGAGATCTGGAGGATCAACCACATGAGTAGGTTCTGTATTCAAAATGAAAATAGTAAAATATTTTAAGAGGATAAAAGAACAAGTACATTTATTGAATTAGAAAAGAGATCCAACCTGGATCAGGGGTCAGAACCTCTGACTGCACATCCTCAGTTCCATTAAGCACTTCTGAGACGGTATCAATCTCATTATCTTCGACATACCTAAAAACATCATTCAACACAAAATAACCCTTGTCCTGCGGAGCAAGGAAAAATGTCTGAGCGAATTTCCTTTTTAACTTATCTCTTCCAGTTAAGCATCCAGTCACCAAAACAACCACCGCATCCTTGAAGGAATCCTGTGCATCTGCAGTCCTTATTTCGGCCTTGTAGTTCTTGTAGTCCAATGAACATATCAAAGTGTTGATATTCTGCTCAATCATCAAGAAAAGCGATAAGGTTTTACATATTGCAAGATAATATTCAATTTATCACCTTATTATACAATTCTTGCTAATGATTCTTCAATTAATAATATCTCTAAACAAGATTTTATAAAAGGTGCACCAAAGAACAATACAAGTAATACACTTTAGGCATTCTACAAATCATGTAAAGTTAGCAACACTTTAAGTACACAATATAGATATGAGGAAGGCATTTTCTAGACCAAAGGAATTCTCCAAGTCTCAAATAAATTTGTTGCCAGCTTTTAACACCCAAAGATCTACTTATCAAAAGAAGATATCAAGGACCTTGGAACATCTATATGTTGTAAGACAGACAGGTTTTACACATTTCTTAATCTATGAAAGGACTTCTAACTTCGGGATAGCAACAGTTTCTCTTGGTCATATTCTGTCATTTTACAAAGTGGACAGCATGCATTAAAGTCATAACTTTGAAACCCGTTTTTTATGATCGAAAATATGTTGTTGCTGTCACCGAAACTCAATGGATAATAAGTCACCTTCCATCCTTCTTTACTTAAATACAAAATCCGGTTCACAACAGAATTTGAGCTCATGACGTGCGTGCACCTCATGTCCATGTTGTACTACCTTTGCTATTATACCAAAGGCATTGAGGGCCAGTTCTCAAAATCAACTTTTCCAATACTACCAACCACGTTTATGTTTTCTGAATGAGCAACCTAAATTAATTTTGAGACTAACTCCACGCACTGCTTTCTAAGACCCCACCAAGTTGTTACATCAAGCTTTTAACCTCGCTTTCAAATTCATGAACCAAAGGTTACATGCCTTTGTCAAATTCAAAGTATTTTTTGGTGTTAATAAGCATCTTCTCTACAACATCAACTAAGTGCCCTTCCAACAAGTATACGAACAACGTCAGGTACCCATTTCAATTTTCTCAAACAGGAAGTAAAAGATGCCATAGGAAAATAATTGATATTATCTTCTTTTACTTTGAAAGGTAAACAATTGGTGCTACCTATTTTCACAAACAGAAGAAAGATATCTTTCGACAACAAATCAACAATCACTCAGAATTTCCCAAATTAAAAAAATTGGGAATACCAAAAGCTTTCAGAATTTTGAATCAGCACCACAAAATTAGTAAATGTTTTGCTGGTATGACCAAAGTATCATCCTCAAGTCGAGGGAAAAGAATAGAATACTACAGATCATGCAGTTAAGCATTAAAATTTGAAAGCTCTACATATCAGTTTCAGTAACTACAGCTCTTTCAAATATCTGCATTGCTTCTATTACTGGAGGAGATCTAGGGCAAGTGGAAGAAACATTCAAAAGGGCTCTTTTCATGAACAAGTATATCAAAAATTATTAGAGAGAGAAACGAAATGAATACCAAACAAATCCGGCTAATACATTTGCAGACTCTACAGTGCCAATTCTTAAAATCATATCTCGCACAAGAAGTAGGATTTTGATACTGATCCACCTATCAAGAGGTACTTCAGAAGAAAGTTTCGACGAAAAGATAAAGAGTTTAAGAGTTCTGGACAAACAAAACTGCTACAGCAGATAGACCTGTTCCTTGGATTTGCTCCAGGTAGTTGGTTTAGCAGTTATATTATTCCTAGTTAGTAGTTTATGGTGTCCGTCTTATCCTATTATGTTCTCTATATATATGTAATAAGATTAGTTATTTGGGGTATGTGATTAAGAATTAAAACTACTATATTCTGGAGTCTTGTCCTCTCCATACAGACAACTTTATTAGTATAATTGTTTTTAAGATTCTTGCACAAACTATTGCCAATAAATTTACTTGCTTTTTTCTATCAGTTTGTATCATAGCAGATCGATCCAACATGGTCAATACCAGATTGTCTAATTCACAAGAAGGCATTCACAATGCTGAATCTCTTGTCTAACAATTATTTGCCACAGCATCTAAATTAAATATGACTACTCACTGGCAGTAGATGTTGCAACATTGAAAGCCCAACTAGTTGCCCTCAATAAGAAGAATCCGGTCACCGAAACCATAATAGAGGAAAATCTGCTTGGCAAGAAAAGGAAGAAGACATTGATAGTCCAGCTTGGCCAAAAAATACTTCCCCGAGGCCATACACCGATGAGGATGGATTTTGAAAGCAGAAAATTATTTCTGCTATTGATAAACTCAAGAGGAACATTAAGTTGACATTGTAGTGATGTATTTGGAAGGGGATGCTGCTCTGGATCTCTTTTCCTGGATAAATCGTAAGCTAACTTTACTTTATTGGGAAGAACTTGTTAAAAAGCATTGCAAGAAAATTATGGTCCTGCAGAGTTTCAAAATCCCGACAAGAACCTTTGTAACATTCAACAAATGGGTTTTATACTGCGGTATCATCAAGAATTTGCAAAAACATTGGTCTAGGGTCATAAACAGGCTGGATCACTGTCTCTTAGGAGTGTCCTTGAATGGGTTGAAAGAGGAACTTAAATCCAATGTTAGGATTATAAACCTAGAACAGTTTATGGGACTATGAGTTTGGCACTTGAATTTGAAAATAAATTAGGTCCAACTCGAAGCAATAGAGTGCCTAACTGGACCCCAATCAACAAACCCATTGTACAACCATTGAATTCTATAGAAACACCCAAAACAATTCTTCCTCTACACATCACAATCCACGCAGCAATGTTTCTTCCAACCCAGTTGTTTCCCAACCTCTTCAAATGTGGACATGGGAATTGAGGAGAAATCTTATGGCACAAGGACTTTGTTATCTTTTCCATGAGAAATTTGCACCCGGTCAGATGCAAATCTGCAAAACTATCTCTCATGGAGATTACCAGAGAAGATCAATTGGAAGAGGTTGATGAGGTCAATGTAGTAGTTGGTGATAACCCTCAAGAAATAGACATTGCTGAAATTTCTTTCAATGCCATTTTGGGACAGTCAATTGATGCTACAATGAAGCTTCAGGGTGAGATCAACCATAGAAAGGTTTTAATACTAAAAGATAGTGGTCCCACACATAATTTTGTTGTTGAATCCATCGTGAAATGTGAAAGAGCATAATTTACCAGTAGAAATAGTTCTAACATTCGGTGTGTAAATAGGGAATGAGTACATCATATGCTGCAAAAAAGTTTGCCCGGAATCTTCAAATTCAATTCAAGATTACTACCCTTTTGTAATTGGAGGGGATGATTTGGTTTTTGGTATCAAATTGTTGGCTACTCACAAGACAATTCAAGCTAACTAGAAGGATATGTTCATAAGTTTCTATTGGCAAGGGAAACATTACAAATTGCAATGCTTGAGATCAACAGATTCAGCCACAGCTTCTCTCCAATCTTTAACATGCTATCAGAAGGTCCATGTATCCAATCCAAACACTTCTAGATTAATTTCAGTTGTGCTTTCTGAACCAACATCTCTTCCACCATTTAGGGCACATTCTCATGTTATTCCTCTGCTATCAAATTCTAACCTCCAAACATCAGACCTTACCATTACCCACATGACCTTACCATTGCCCACATGGTCAAAATACTGAAATTGAGAACCAAGTTGCAGCTTTATTAAAATTTGGTTTCATACGTCCTAGTTCAAGTCCCTTTGCTAGCCAGTTCTGCTAGTGTAAAAGAAAGATAACTCTTGGCAGATTTGTGTGGGTTACTGTAGCCTAAACAAAATAACTGTCCCAGACACATACCCATTCCCAATATTGATGAGTTGTTAAACGAATTACATGGAGCCACAAATTTTTCTAAAATTGACCAAGAAAGATGCTTTTTCCTGGCATGCAAAAGAGGAAGAGGTTTTCCAAAATTTAAAGAGGATCTTGACATCAGTACTGGTGCTTCGTCTTCCCAACTTTACTCAAAAGTTTACAGTTGAGTGTTATGCTTCATCTAATGGATTGGGGCTATTTTACTGCAATAGTGTTATCCAGTAGCCTATTTCAGCAAGGGATTTTCCTTTTCTACAAATCTACTTATGATCGTGCATTGCTGGCCTTGGTCCTTGCATTGCAAAAATGGAAGCATTATCTTTTGGGTCGGCATTTTATTGCCACTACTGACCAGTCTTGCCTAAAGTATCTCTTGCATTAGCGGGTGACTACTGCTGAACAATGTTTGTTGTTTAAATTATTACCTTTTGATTTCACTATTGTCTATAAGTCAAGAAGTGAAATCAAAGGAGTTGGTGCCTTAATCTCGTCACCCTCAACATGCTGATTTTTTTTACTTTGGTAATGCCTATTCCATTAGATTTCATTGATTTGAAAAAAGCAACTGAAGTTGATCCATATACTAAATAGATATGAGATCAACTTTCTTCTAATCCACTAATTCATCCTGATTTCTTGTTATCTCCTTACCATATTTATAACGAATCTTGGTTGGTTATTCCTGATTATCCTGAGCTCAAAGCCAAAATTTTAGCACAGTACATGATTCTCCAACAAGAGGGCACAAAGAATACTTGAAAACTCTCAAAAGGTTATCCGTAATTTTTTTCTGGCCTTGTTTGAAGCATGATGTTCAGTTGTTTGTCCAAAATTGTTTGATATGCCAGCAACATAAATATGAAAAGCTAGCTCCAGCTAGTCTCTAACAGCCTTTACCCGTTCCTAACAAAGTTTTGGAGGATATCTCCCTTGATTTCATTGTTGGACTTCCTCCTTCTAATGGCTTTGATACTATTTTTGTGGTGGTTGACAGGTTTAGGTAAACACAACCATTTTCTTGCTTTATCTCATCCCTTTACCGCTAAAACAGAGTTTGGGGTTTTCTGTAAGGAAATTGTCAGGTTGCACGGTTTACCTCGCTCCATTCTTTCAGATCGTGATGTTGTCTTCACAAGTGCATTTTTGCAGGAACTTTTTTGCCTTAGTCGCACTCGTCTTTGTATGCGTACTTCATATCACCCCCAATCTGACGGTCAAACACAAATGTGGTCAATCGAAGCCTTGAAACTTACTTGCATTGTTTTGCTCATGGCAAGCCAAAATCATGGCTTCATATCTTTCTTGGGCTGAATACTCTTTCAACAGTGGATACTGCTCTTCAGCCAATATGACTCCTTTCCAGATTATGTACTGGAGGGAACCACCACTCTTGCATCCCTTTGTTCATGAAGAAACTAAAATTGTTGAACTTGAACAGAAGCTCGTGGGACGAGATCAAATGTTAGAGATACTGCATTCCATTCGATGAAGGCTCAATCTAGAATGAAGACTCAAGATGATTCCAAGCGGAGCAACTTATCTTTTAATGTGGGTGATGCTGTTTTCCTTCATTTGTGTCCTTATCGGCAGAAGAGTTCAGTCAAACGTCTTAATGAGAACCTTTCACCTCGATATTTGGAACATACAAAATTGTTTGCAGAGTTGGTCCTCTTTCTTATGAATTGCAGCTGCCTCAAACATCTACGATACATCCTATTTTTCATGTCTCGCTGCTTTGTCATGCTTGTGGTTGTTCTGATATTGCTTCCCCTCCACCCTTACCACTTTAGGGTGAACTAGAATTGATGGTAGAACCTGAAAAAGTTTAATCGCATCGTTGGGTGAAAGAGGCAGGAGTGTCTATTCCTCCTAATACCATTTGTATTTTCCTCAACAGACCAAAAAAAAATACAAGAAGATAGATTCGTCAAGAAATAAGCATGAGTTAGTAGATGAAAAACTTGGTCGTCAAAAACTTCTAGAATTTTTGGCTTGGTTTTGGGGTCAATGACAGATAGATCGTTAGACTTAAATGATAGTTCCGCTTGCCCAACACCTTCCAGCACATTACGTATCATAAAAGTAAACAAATTAATTCTACTTATACTCACTTTCATTGTTGTCACCGATGTCATCACGCCATTAGCATCTGGGCGACTCAAGACACTTGAATCCTGGTAGAATCGGTACACTGACTCAGGGGAGTGATGCTGAATTTGATAATACTGCTCAACAAAAGTATTTCCAACGACTTGAGCAGAAGGTTGAGCTACAGTTTGCATGGCCATTCTGTAGAAATTCAACAAGATGGTATTCACTAAGAAACATCTATGTTGTCATTATTTGTGCAAGAAAAAGACATCAGGTGCAAATATCAGTATAGTTCAAACAGAAAGTGCAAGAATACATGTTACTCCATGGAGCAAAGGAAGAAGAAAGATCAAGATGGTCAGAATCTGAACATATAGGCAACATTGCTATGGGTCGGAAATCAAACATGAAACATCCCCAGGATAACTTTGTCAGTTGTATGACTATGATGCTAGATTCCAGGATATCACAAGCAGGGTATACAAAATTAATCTTTGTACAACCTATATATTGAGGGTTTCCTTTTGGTAGTTTCTAGTAGTTGGCAAAAGCCACGTACTTGCAAAAGAAAAGGTTAAGTCCTAATATAGCCTTATTAAGCCTCACTGATCAAAATATTTGAAGGATAGTTTTTGTTCATTTATTTTCCTCTGTAACGAACACACCCATAACATATAGATATATGAAGCCTTAAATAACAAATATTGACACCAGTGCATCCTCTATTAGTAACTAACAAGACGACCAAAATAACAAAAGAGCAGTTCTGGGAAATGAACAAGACTAATGGGTAGAGCCAGGGCTAGCTCTAAAGACTGCTAGTAAGGCTTGTTATTTAGACCCTATATTGGGATTTGGGGGGTTAATGATAGTACTTTTAGTAGAAAGTAAAAGAAGTATAAAAGAAAAGAAATTATACTATAATTTATTCAAAAAATTTAGAGATGATTATTCTTGACCAAACCTTTTGTTACTTCAAAATAGATTTCAACAATTTGAAGCATAAAAATTGAGATCATTAGATAACGAGAATTTTAAAGAACATAGATTTAACCTTGAATGTTCCTTGAAATGTAGATGTCTACACACATTTCTGAATCAAAAGTGTTGGAGAAAAGTAGTACAAGTAGAAGAAAATATTCAAATTAATATAATGAATCAAATAAAAATAATTGATTATTTCTTAAATGTCCTTGTAACTTGTAAATGATGCCTTAGCTTTAAAAAAAAATCAAAACTAAATTTGATAAAATCTTAAATAAGATTAACAATGTCTCGAGAAAGATTAATGGTTGACTATACAATCATTGAA